TTCATCGCCAACACGGGCCCCATGACCAATGGCATGCTAATGAGGAGACCCGGCTAGGAGGCTATGAGCCTGAAGGCTGACCTGTCTATTTCTGTCTTTTAGATATCCTATATCAGTGTTTAGGGCTCTGGGTTCCAAGACAGATGGGCCCCTGTAAACTAGAGTGAAAAGCAGAAATTGATTCCCCCCAGAAGACCTTAAATAAGGGACATCTTGAGACAAAATGAATTATATTATTTATGAATAAGATCATACACAGATGCCTGATTTTGTTCTTACTCGTTTAAGAGTACTGCTACTCCTGGCTAAACAAGCCGGCCGCCACTTTCTGTGCGTGAGGAAGTCCCTCTGTGAGACTCTCCTACACCCTTGTTATCCACAAGGAGGCTTGAGCCATCAGAAAACAGTTGCCTTAGCCACTTACACAGCTTTGTTGGAGGACAAACATACGGGAAAGGTTTTCATTTCCACGGAGACTTGAGTCTGGCCAGTCAGAATTGGGGTGGCAATGAACTGACTGTCAGATAAATAATAGCCTCCAACATGGCCCAGTGGCCCCCGAACCTACAAGGGAGGAGGGACTGAGTCCTCCCGCAAGCTGTCCTCTGACCTCTGCAAGGGGAGAGGAGGGACTGAGTCCTCCCACAAGCTGTCCTCTGACCTCTGCAAGCGCACCACAGCGTGCACACACACACTAAATAAACAAGACATTTTTAAAAGAAAATGGGGGCAAGATTAGGATAGGCTTCATAGAGTGACCTGGAGTGCCTTCTTCGTAACCCTCCCCTCCACCTTCGTTCCTCCTGTCCCTAATGCCCCCACCTCCCACCACTGTGAACTGGCTGCCTCAGGTCCTATGTAAGGCACACAAGAAACTGATGCTCCAGGCAAGGGCCACCCCCCACCCACACCCAAACCCACACCCACACCCCACACCCCACCCACACCCCACCCACACCCACACCCACACCCCACCCACACCCACACCCCACACCCACATCCTACACCCCACACCCCACCCACACCCCACCCCACACCCACACCCACACCCCACCCACACCCCACACCCCACACCCACACCCACACCCCACACCCACACCCACACCCCACCCACACCCCACCCACACCCACACCCCACCCACACCCACACCCCACCCACACCCCACCCACACCCCACCCACACCCACATCCCACACCCACACCCCACACCCACACCCACACCCCACACCCACACCCACACCCCACACCCACACCCCACCCACACCCCACCCACACCCACACCTACACCCCACCCACACCCACACCCCACCCCACACCCCACCCACACCCACACCCCACCCACACCCACACCCCACACCCACACCCCACACCCCACACCCACACCCACACCCCACACCCACACCCCACCCACACCCCACCCACACCCACACCCCCACCCCACACCCCACACCCCACACCCACACCCCACCCACACCAACCCACACCCCACCCACACCCCACCCACACCCACACCCCACCCACACCCACATCCCACACCCACACCCCACACCCCCACCCCACACCCACACCCCACACCCCACACCCACACCCCACCCACACCCACACCCATACCCCACCCACACCCCACCCACACCAACCCACACCCCACCCACACCCCACCCACACCCACACCCGCTTGATTCATGGGTGTTCCCCTCCCTGGGGTCCCCAAGCTCCCTTCCCACCTCCTAGGTCCTTAGCTCTGTCAGCTAAACGCCCCATGTCTCTCCATCACACACTACCACCTCCTCCACCTCCTTCCCAAGAGCATTGCTTTCGGGGGGAGGGTTGAGACAGGGTTTCTCTGTGTAGCCCTGGCTGTCCTGGAACTCACTCTGTAGATCAACCTGGTCTTGAACTCAGAGATCTGCCTGCCTCTGCCTCCTGAGTGCTGGAATTAAAGGCGTGCAACCCCACCACCCCCCAAGAGCATTTCAATATACTCAGACAGCTCCGGGGTTCACAACCCAAACCCTACTCATCCTTGGTTTCCTTCAAGGCCAACCTGAGGGTGTTGCATTTACATTCATGAATTCCTGCTCACTTTCTCTACACAGAGGGGTCCGGCAATGGTTACCAGCAATTCCTTATGAACTACGACATGAACTACAACAGAACTATAATATGAACTACAATATATGTCTCTAATTCCTCAAAGGGACTCACACTTTTGAAAATTATTTTTAAAACTGTTTTTTTTTAAGCAAATAAACATTCTTTCGGTCAATAAGTATTTATTGAATTCGTATTAGTGCCAGACAACTGGAAACAGCATAAGTCAGTTCTGGCAATAATGGGGTTCACATTAGGCGCTGGAGCAAGAATTAAACAATGCACAGGTGAGCAGGATGATCCCAGATGACTGCACACAAAACTTAGAGAGACGGCCTTGGGTGGTGTGGGAGAATCTCTGAGATGGCGATTGAGCTGAGGGCACGCACGGACCATGGGCCACAGCGCGACGGGCTCTGAGCAGCAGGCACACAGCCCATGCTGGGCACTGAGTGTAAGTGCCATATTTGTTCACACGCACACAAGAGAGAAGGGAAAGGAGCAGCCCTGTGGCCTTGCTGGGTAGGGAAAGGGCTTCTGAATCATGGGCACGATGGGCCCATTCTAGAGGAGCTTGCGTCTGAGACTCATCCATTTTCTTTTTCCTTTTCCATTTTCGTGTGTGTGTGATGTGCGTGTGCTCATGTCTGCATGTGCATGGGCACACGTGTACAGAGGTGCATGTACGTGGAGTCCCTGACGTTGATGTTGGGGGCACCGTCTGTCTTCTACAGTATTCACTAAGGCAGGGTTTCTCAATCAATCCCAGAGCTCACTGATATGGCTGGTCTTGCTCCAGGTAGGTTGCTCTGAGGATCTCCTGTCTCTGCCTCCTGAGGCTGGATTTGGAGGTGGGTTGCCAGGCCACCCGGCATTTAGGTGGGTCATGGGGATCTGAACGCCATTCCTCACGTTTTCATGGCAAGCACTGAGTCATCTGCCAAGCCCTGAGCCTGACTTCCTTATGAGTAGAAACATGGCCTCCTTTCTCCTGAGAGCTGGCAAATGTTCTCCACACACACACACACACACACACACACGCACGCACCAGTTCACAACAGTCTAAGGCCATCTGAAAGAAACACTTCCATCTGGCCCAGGCTCGATCCTCACAGCAACTGCAGACACCAGAAACCAGCAAGTGGGAGGGAATAAGAGTGAGCAGGAGCCCATACTCAGGGTCACTCTTTCCCAGAGCACTGAGGATACAGATCTTGGGGACAAACCAGAGCAAAGAGATGGAAAGTCAACCACCAACCGTACTCTCCCTATACAGTCAAGACCAGAGCCCCTCATCCAGGAATAGCCCTGTACTCAGGGAAGAAGTCTCGGATTTCTAGCCCTCTACTCCCCAACACACACACACACACACACACACACACACACACACACACACACACACTCTTTACTCCTTTCCCATTCTTCTTGATCTCTCTTTACCACAGACATTGATGGCATGGAGAGCCAGCCAGGGAAAGCCCTGAGGCGCTGGGGTGCCCGGCCTCCTGTCTCCCCAGGAATCTGGGGAATTTGGATTGGGAAACGGAAACTCCCAGAACTTTTTCTGGACCTATGCAAATGTCTAGGGCCATCCACCTGGGTGCTCGTGAGAGGAAAGTGGATGGGACAACAGGGCTGAAGCCATATGACCTTTCTAAGTTTCTGATTTGAAAGCAGTGGGAGCTGTGGGGTTACATCTGTGCCCATGAGAGAGCCACGCAGGTGACCAGAGCTCTCCAGGGGCGCGCCATCTGTGCAGGTGACAAGATTGCAAAGGCAGTGCTTTAAATGGGTTGTTCTCACCCAGGCAGGGGTAGGAGTTGACAAAGCCCTATGTGAGGCTGGAGACAGGGGCAAAGGGAAGGAGGTCACGGCTTCTACCCTTTTCTCTGTTTCTGGTACAAGTTAGCTACATCTGACGTGGGATTTAGCATGACTCCTTTCGTCTAGGGATATCTTAGTACTTAAGGATCACATGGCAATTAGTATCTTATCTTAAAATCACAGGGACCGTCACCAGTGTCCACTCTGGCTCTGGCTACTGAGTAAGAAGGCTAAACAGAGATGAAATGGCATGGGAACAGGCAGAGGTTTAGGGGGAAAAGGTAGAGCCAGGTTCGCCACCAGAGGCAGGGGTAGAGGGGAACAGAGAGGAGGAGGAATATGTTTGGATTAGCAATGCACCCTTTGCCAGAGACCCTGGAGGCCTGCGCAGCTGCCAGAGAGAAAAGGCTGCTGACAAAACCCAAAGACCCCTTCCCCAAGCTCTGAAGCCCTTGGGGTCCTGATGTGGGATGTTCTTCTGTAGGCTGCAAATATGTGTTGCTTTTATTGGTTGATGAATAAAGCTGTTAACGCCAAAGGACAGGCAAAATTTAGCTAGGTGGGAAATCCAAACAAAGATACAGAGAGAAGGAAGGCAGGGTCAAGGAAATGCTTGCATCTTGCCAGGGAAGCAAGATGCAAGGGCATCGCCAGTAAGCCACAACCACACGGTGACACACAGATTAATAGAGACGGGTTGATATTTTAAGAGAGAGCTAGCCAGTAAGAAGCCTGAGCCGTTGGCCAAACAATTGTAACTGATATTCAGCCTCAGAGTGGTTATTTTATAAGTGGCTGTGGAGACCCGGGCCGGAGGCGGGGGGGGGGGGGGGGGGGGGGGGGACCAGTCCATGGGACCAGAAAAGCTAGAGAAAAGTCCCCTTCTACAGGGTCCTTTCAGGACTCAGTGCCTGGAGTGTGGTACAAAGAGGCCCCTCCTCACCTCCAGGCAGCCTGCCCTGAGGCTCCCACACCAGGAGGACTGAGGGCATCTGTAGATGTCGCATCAGCAGGGGTTTGACCCTGCATCATACTCCAGGCCAGAGAGCTTGTCTGAGGGCAGACGGCTTGCGAAGGTGTAAGTCGGAGGGAGGAGGCTGTCCATTCACGGGAAATCCCTTCTCCGTCACTTTTTTCTCGGGGTTGACCTGCTCCTCCTTTTCAATCTAATTTATAAAAAGAAAAAGAGAGTTTCACAAAGTGGTGTCCACTTCCTGTACAGTATTTAATGCAACTGTGACTTCATGAGCCTTTAAAGGATGTATTTGTTTTTATCTTGGGTGCGGTGCGTGCGTGCGTGCGTGTGTGTGTGTGTGTGTGCGTGCGTGTGTGTGTGTGTGTGTGTAGGGGTTCCCAGAAAGGTTCAAATGAGAAGAATCATCTAGAACACAGGGGGCTCCAGAGCATGGGCCTGGAGAAAGTGGGCTGAGCTCCAGCGTTCATCTCTCTCGGCTTCCTGATTGCCGAGGCCACGTGACCATCTGCCTTCCTGCCACGATGGCTGTGTCCCCTCAAACTGTGAGTCAAAACGAAGCTTCCTAACATTGCTGTCCCAGATATCTTATCACGGCAATGAAAACAGTGACTGACACCATGGACTTAAATGTAAACGTGTGTCCATACATGGAGAGAACACAAACACTTACAAAATTCTGACCAGCAACACCGAGTAAATTGATTACAACTATGTGGGCCCAGACAGGCGCTGGTCACAGTTTACCTAAAAGCTCGGACTCAGAACTGATGCTGAAGACTGCTTGTGCTGCATCAGACTGTGAGGTGCGTCGTTTGGTCTCATTAAGTCACTAACATCGTCAAACCCTGAGCCGGGCTCTGGAGAGATGAGTGTAAGATTATCTGAGTCTAATCACACACAGCCCTGCAAGGGAGACACAGGTAAATAGACCCATGCACGAGGGCAGATGTGTCAAGAGCCTGGCAGAGGACAGCCTTCTGCTCAGCAGGACGTGTGAGGGATGGTGAGACAAAGGGCTCTGCCAGGGCTCCTTACCGCTGATGGCAATGGTGACCCCCCCCCAAGCTGCAAGAGAGGAATGCTCTGCCTCCAGGAGACACCTGACACCTCTGTCCCAACCACGTGGAATGGAAAGATTAGAGGACCGTAGCCTGCGAGAGTCAATCCTCATCTGACTCTAGCGTAGCTTTGAAAGTTTGAAGTTACGAATATTTCCCATCTAACAGAGCAGAAGAAGCAAACAGCGCAGGACCGTGCAGGGTTGGGGAAGCCAGTGCCTGAATCCATTCCTGGAAGATCTCCATGGAGTGTGGGCTCCCCCCAAGAACAGACTGGCTCTAAATGCTCTTCAGAGTCGAATTCATCACATGAACTGAGTCCAGCACTCCGGTGTGTGTCTCCCATTGACCACCAGGGTGATGTCAGTACCTAATGACTGACAGTTGCTGCCCAGAGTCTATTCCAAAGCACGTCTGGGGACGTCCTCTATCTTGACAGTAATGGTTGCAAAATACATTTGCAGCATAGACAGCAGTGTCAAACATGCACACTTAGGTATGCAGATTGAAAGGGAAACGTGCAAGTGTCTCTACTGAAGGGCATGATGTGCAAAACTAAATTATCTAATTTTTTACTAGTAATAATGAACAGTGGAAATCGAAGCTATGAAAAGGCACTTTTTAATTGTGTGGCCTGGTTTCTCTGGGCTGTGGATCCGATCTCGTAGAGAGACAGTGTCTTACAGTGGCAGCTCCATAATCTTAGGATCCTGACATTAAATCCCACATCTTAAAGACCAGGGAAAGAATACACTTAAAGGGACTTGCCAGGACCACCTCCCATGACAAAGCGATGCTTCGACCTTCTGTTGAGGTGTGGGAAACCAAGCCCATTCGTGTCTAAAATCAGATTATTCTCTGGTTTCTGCATACGACCCTACTCAAAGGAATTAGTACAGATCCAAAAGGGCCTTTGTCTAATTATTCTGACGTCTCCACACGATACCTCAGGGACGGCCTTATATCTGAAAGCATGCCAGCTTCAGAAAAACCTCCCTTTTAACCATTTTAAAGGTGTGGGCTAGCTGCCCTGATCGGGCGCGAGCGGTTACTATTAATGTATCTCCTATGTTTCTGATTTGGAATAGTCAATCAGGTCGATAAAGGACATAAAAAGTGCAGTGGTTAAAAACCTATTCTAGTGCGTTGCCTTGGGACCTCTGGGATTCATAGAAGGGGAAATGAGCATCTCGGGTGGGGCTCGGAGAGGGCATGATAGCATGATGTTAGGAAGTTAGCCCTGATTCCCAGGGAGGTAGGGCTCATGCACACACAGCCTGTGGAGACGTCTTGGCTGATGTCTCTGAGTTTGGTGACTACAGGTCCAAACAAACCCGTGTCTGAGATGGCGCTTATTCTCTCTGTCTTCTGTGTCTTTTCCATTCCAGCTCATACGCCAACCGCTCAAAAGCTATCGACTGGCTTTCCACAAAGAACTGCCTCTCACCTACAAATCAACGACCTCAACTGCCTACACTCTCTAGCCCCTTCTGTGTACTAGAAATCAGCCGGCTGAACCAACCTTTTCCTCCAGTCCCTTGGAGGAACTTAGTGACCAGTCGAACTAGATCCGCCTCTCTGCTAAGGTTTTGGTCAGCAGTAGCCAGTTAGTTCCTTTGCTAGGTAACACTCAGCCTTGGATGTCGCCAGTTTTCAATGGAGAGGGGGTCACAAACATAGTGGCTGCCACAGATGATGTGAGTCATCTATTTAGGGATATTTAAGTCAGACTTGTTTGCTGTGTCTGAAAATGAAGACACCCCCAAGCTTCACTGGTGACCCTTGACTGAAATTCTCAGGAGGGTTCCAGAATGCTGCCCAGGGCCTGAGCAGCAAAGGGGAGAGGATTAGTCAGAGCTGGTGCTCACCGCTGACTCACCAAACAAATCTGTTTCCAAATATTAAAATGTTGTTGACCATGTGTATAGGGGCAGGGAATAGAGACAATTCTGTCTTCCCCCAATTTTGCTGTAGACCTAAAACTGTACCAAAAATAAAGTCTGTAGAGAAGAGAGACAGAGGATGAGGAGGAGTTGTCACCGCCAAGCACGGTGGCCGACCTGTAATCCCAGCATTCGGGACTCTAAAGCAGTAGGGTCTTAATGAGTTTACAGAGCAAGCTCCAGGCTCAGCTGAACTACGGTATGAGACCCTGTCTGGAGAAGAGAAGCCGGGCAGTGGTGGCGCACACCTTTCCTCCCAGCTCGGGAGGCAGAGGCAGGTGGATCTCCGTGAGTCCAGCCTGGTCTACAGAGCGAGTTCCAGGACAGGCTCCAAAACAATACAGAGAAACCCTGTCTCAAAAACAACAAAAAGAAGGGGGAGGGGTGCTGAAAAGATGGCTCAGAGGTTAAGAGCCCTGGTTGCTCTTCCAGAGGACCTGGGTTCAATTCCCAGCACCCACATGGTAGCTCACAACTGTCCTGTCCCAGATCTGACACCTCCGCACAAATGCACATAAAATAAATTTAAACGAGTTATTTAAAAAAAGAAGAGAGGAAACTGATCCACCTGAGGCAGAGCAGATGGACAGGGGCCTCTCTGGCCATCCTTCTCCTGTTTGCCCCCTCCAGCCTAATTTTCTGAGAAGTCTCGGACTCCCAAGGCAGAACTGGTACACTGGCTCCATTTGGGGCTCCCATGGGCTACATACATCCTGAGTACGGCAGTATTGGGAGCGTTTACTCTGTATACCATGACCAGCTAGTCTCTTCCTTGGTACCCGGAAATCACAAATAATATTCCTTTCCCCGGCACAGCATGGCAGTACAGTTTGCTGAGCAACGGAGTGAGTGGCATTGCCACCGAGGCTAATGTATGAGGTGAGCAAATGGGACAATGGGTCCTCTCCTTTCACACAGAATATACCTCCCCGGTGGGGTGGGAAGGGGGTGGGGACTCATATCCCCAGCCTGCCACTGTGGTCAATAGTACGACCTAGTAAATTAGTGACTTGCGGTCCTGTGGGACGGCACAAGCATCTGAGCTGAGGAGCAAGAACATCTGGGAGGAAAAACAGAGGCCACGACAGGTGTTTGGAACAGAGGGGGTTTAATGGGGGGAGTGGATTACACAGGCTCGGTACCGTGGAGCGATCCCTCATGTTAGTACTTACAGAAAAAGCAGCTGCTGACCTTAGGCTAAGGGGAGACAAAAGGCAAGAGATGGTAGTGTTACCAGAACCTAGAAGCTCTGATGGGAGACCCCCCACGGCTGGTGCCTGGCCCTCTGATGGGGCTGCTGCGTGCTGGTTGCTTGGACTTCTGAGGGGGCTTCTGCTTGGCTGGTGGTGGTCGGACCTCTGGGCGGGGACGCGGCTGGCGCTCAGTCCTCGAAGGGGACCTTGGCTTGGCTGGCCTCGGAGGGGACTTTGGCTTGGCTGGCGGCGCTCTGACCACCACGGGGGATGCGGCTGGCTGGTGCTTGGGCCTCTGAGGGGACCTGGCACGGCGGCTGGTGCAGAGAGGGCCAAAAGAAGCTGGAGGCTGCGGCCCGGGCTCTTAAAGGATGCTATTGCTGGCAGGAGCTGGAAACCGCAGGAAAGCCCTGCCCTCCCTCCCGCCTTCTGCTTGCCCTCCAGTGCCCTAACAGAGAGCTGATAGTCATGGAGCAGGGGGATGTGACACAGACTGGCCCAGAGCCCGCGCTCACCTGGTCTTCTGGCACGCACAGCAGATCCAATCCTCCTCCTTCTTCTGGTAGAAGCAGCCGCTCTTGCAGATGCTGTACTTGCGGTCCACGATCTCACGCTTGGAGTTGAGGAAGGTGAAGGGCGGGCAACAATGGATGCTGAAGTGCTCCGAAAACTTCTGGTTCTTGGAGAGCCTGGGGCCCTCCTTGGCCATTTTCTGACTCATCTCACTGGAAACCATCCATGGGGGGGGGGGAGGCAGGAGGGACACAAAACAGCATGTCAGGGAGGGTGCTTTTGCTTCAAGTCTACATTCGACACTGCTTTGTGGAACAAAGATGCAGAGATAAGGTGGGGGCGGTTAACGACGCTTGTCTGTGTGTTTTCCTTTGGCGCTCGTGCGTGCATGTGTGCGTGTAGCCAGCATGTTCACATGTGCGTTAGGCCACACTGTGTGTGCTGGTGCATGTGCGTTCGTGTGCGCATGCATGTAGAGGTCAGAAGTTAACGTCAGGTGCCCTCAGTCTAGCCCCGCCTTATACGTTAAGGTGAGGTCCCTCTGCACCCAGAGCCCACTGGTTAGACTAAGTCACACGTAGCTGGTTTGTTCCAGGGCTTTCCTGTCTCTGCCTCCTGGTGATGAAATTACAAGCAGGCTGCCAAGCCTGACCACGCAGCTTTATGTGGATCCTGGGGACCCAAAGTCTAGATTTATAACAGGTCTTTTCTCCAACAAGCAAAATGGGTTTATTGCTCTTAAAACCATAATCAGTGTTTTCGGGCGTGTGTGTGTGTGTGTGTGTGTGTGTACATGTTTTCGTGGTGATGTACGTGTGTATATACGTGTGTATACGTGTGTGTGCGTGTGTGAGTGCATGTTTTCGTGGTGATGTATGTGTGTGCATGTTTCGTGGTGATGTACGTGTGTGCGCACTCGTGTGTGTGTGTGTGTGTGTGTGTGTAGGTGGGTGTGTGCTTGTGCACAAGCACTTGGAGATCTAAAGACAGCCTCAGCTACTGGTCCTCAAGGGCCATTCATCTATTTTTATTTTATTTTATTCATTTATTTAATTACTTTCCCATTTTTGAAACAGGGTTTCTGTCTAATCTGAAGCTCATGAAATAGGCTAGGCTGGCTGCCAGTAAGCCCCAGGGATCTGCCTGTCTCTGCCTCCCCAGCACTGGAATTACAAGTGACCACTGTGTCAGGCTTTTTTTTTTTTTTTTTTTTTTTTTTTTTATCTGTTTGAACTAGATTAAATCTATGTTTAATACATGTTCTGGGGACTAAACGCTTGCAAGACAAGCACTATATTGACTGAGCTACCTCTGCAGCCCTTCATATAAGAAAAAACAACTTGCTGGGCAGCGGCAGCTAACACCTTTAATCCCAGCACTCAGGAGGCAGTCAGGCCTCTGTGAGTTTGAGGCCAGCCTGGTCTACAGAGTGAGTTCAAGACAGCCAGAGCTACACAGAGAAACCCTGTATCAAAAAAAACAAACAAACAAATAAAAACAAAAACCATCCAGCTAAATCAACATGTGACTCTCAAAGCACGATGCTGGGCAGAAGAAACCAGACACATAAGAAAATGCCTGGGCTCTTTCCATGGCTTCCTTCAGCAATAGACAATAACTTGCAAACTGAAGGAAACTTTTCTTCCCTAAGTTGCTTTTGCTCTGAGTGTTTTATCACAGCAAGAGAGGAAAAGTAGTCCACATGGTAAAGGTTTTCTTTTTAATGCACATCAACAATAATCTAACAATTTATTCCTGGGTGTAGAAGTTATCTTGGATCATGACTCAGTCTTGCAGAGCCTGTGAATCCAACTCAATCTGCCTGTTCCCAGCTCCCAGGAAACAGAATCATCCCAGCCTTTGGACCACACCCCACAGCCTCTGCCTGTTCCCTCCCTATCCAACAACTGCACGGCTCACCCCTTACCTGCATGACACCCTGCTTAAAGGGAAGACTTCTTTCAGAGTCTTTCCAGAACCTTCCCTTCCCCTAATGAGTAAGGATCCCTCCTCCCTCCTTGTGGCCTGACTTCTGATATAATTCTAGAAGATTTACAGAAAGAAGAAGTACTCAAACACCCAGAAAGATGAAGCATATGAGGGGAAATAGCAGGAAACATCATCTTCACAATAACAACAAAATCTTGAAATGCCCAGAAATAAAGAGAAAACTAAAATGTGTATGTTTCTATGGGGGAAAATTAAAGCTCCATTGATGATAACATGAATAAATAAAAAAACTCTAAGTAGATGGAAACTGTGTGCATCATAAAGACAAGATTTTTCAAAAAAAAAAAAAAATAGCCAGGTGGTGATGGCATACACCTTTGGTCCCAGCACTTTGGAAGCAGAAGCAGGCAAGTCCCTGTGAATTTGAGGCTAGCCTGATTTACAGAGTGGGTTCCAGTACAGGCTCCAAAGCCACAGAGAAACCCTGTCTCAAAAAAATAAATAAATAAATAAAAAATAAAAGAGTTTTCCAAAGTAAACGTGTGAACATTGCGCACCTCTTAGTAAAACATATGAAGAGTTCCGATCTGAACGGAGACAGTGGATGAGACACTCTGGTCTCAGTCAGCACGGGGCGCTCACACGGGAATCTAAAACCCAAAATCCTAGGATGTAGAAGGGGGACAAAATCCCTCCACCAGCCAAGAAGCAGCTTCCAATCAGTGGCTGCTGGAGAGATGGCATGGAGTGACATCGTGTATGTCACCCACTTAAGGGCAGGCCTCATGCTGAGGAGCAGCCGGCCATACAAATCGGACTCTGTGGTTTTGGTGGCAGCAGGGAGGAGTTGGGAGAGGGGAAAGAATCTACTAAAATACATTGTTAAATACTACAAATGAAATTGATTGTTTTAAAGTCTGGAAACTGTAACAGCCGTTCTTATACCATGTATCACGAGAGCCAGAGTTTAAAGTGATCTGACCCTGTAATGCCGGCACTCGGGACCAGGCAGTGTGATTCCAATCGTCCTCAGATACATAGTGAGTTCCAGGCCAGCTCAGTCCACATGAGACTATTTTACAACATATTTAGTATTACATATTACATGCAACATATTACATATTACAACATATTACAACAAACACCCCAGGTTTTATAATGAATTAGCTAATTAAAATAAAGAAACATAAAACAGCGTGGCAATGGCCTCAAAACTAGACGAAAGGAACAGCGGGCCAGCAAACCAGAACTCCAAAGTGAGTCCCCACGTACAGGAAAACTTGGTGTGTGGCAAAGATCTCCTCAACCAGTATCAGAAGGAGGGGATTCTTCATGAAGAAAGCTAACATAACTCAAGTAATCAAAATTAAAAACTGCTCCACATCAGAAGACACAACACCCGCATCCAAGAGAAGCAATGTCAGAATAACACGACACACTTAATGTACAAAGGACTTCCTGTTTTCATGTGTCGTGGATGCCTTGCCTGCATGGTTGTCTGTGCACCACGTGCATGCCCAGTGCCCACAGAGACCAGAAGAGGGCATCCGATTCCCTGACTGGAGTTGCAGCGGGTTGTGACCCACAGTGTAGGTGCTTGGAATCAAATGGTGCCAGTGCACCATTGCTGAACCATTTCTCCAGCCCCAGAACTCTCAGAGTCTAGCCAGTCTGAAAGGTGAAGTGTTTTGTAATAACAGGCTGGAAAAAGTAAATTTAAATTTGAAAACCCTGTAAGTATAATTTACTCCATCAACAGGTCAAAGGGAAGGCACAGCCCTGGGGGGGGGTATATGAAGGAAGCATCCACTGGGGGGCCTGGGTGATAGCTCAGCACAACCTAAGGACCTGAGTTCAATCCCCAGAGCCCACACAGAGCTGCTCAGACAGTGTGTGTCTGTAATCCTGGCATGCCTACAGCAAAATGGGACTTGGAGACAGGAGGATTCCCTGGAGGCCCAGGGGCCAGGTAGCCTGGACAGCAGGGAACAGGAAAAGGGCCCTGAGGTTGTCCTCTGGCCACACACACACACACACACACACACACACATACACACACACATACACACACACACACACACAGCTATTAACAAATAAGTTAGAAATTGCTCAGTGAAACTTGGTGTCCACTCCAACCAAGCTCTCACTATGGTAAGAATAGAAAGTGACATCTTAGAAGCAAAGCTTCCCAGTCAGACCTGAAGAAGGACACCACTGACGGTCACTGTCCATCAAGGTCATGTTTAAAATCCTGTCCACTACAAACATTTTTCATTTAAAAATTGTGCTGGGCAGTTAGCTCAGTCAGGGAAGTGCTTCCATGGAGTTAGCTCAGTCAGGGAAGTGCTCCATGGAGTTAGCTCAAGTGCTCCCATGGAGTTAGCTCAGTCAAGGAAGTGTTCCCATGGAGTTACCTCAGTCAGGGACGTGCTCCCATGGAGTTAGCTCAGTCGGGGAAGTGCTCCCATGGAGTTAGCTCAATCAGGGAAGTGCTCCCATGGAGTTAGCTCAGTCAGGGAAGTGCTCCATGGAGTTAGCTCAAGTGCTCCCATGGAGTTAGCTCAGTCAAGGAAGTGTTCCCATGGAGTTACCTCAGTCAGGGACGTGCTCCCATGGAGTTAGCTCAGTCGGGGAAGTGCTCCCATAGAGTTAGCTCAATCAGGGAAGTGCTCCCATGGAGTTAGCTCAGTCAGGGAAGTGCTCCATGGAGTTAGCTCAAGTGCTCCCATGGAGTTAGCTTAACCAATGAAATGCTCCCATGCACACATGAAGACCTGAGTTAATCCCCCAGAACCCACATTTAAAACACACAAAATAATAATAATTAAAAAAAACAGCCAGGTGTAGTGACGTGCCTATAATCCCAGCAGTGGGAAGCCAGAAACCAAAGGATCCCTGGGGCTTGCTGGCCTGTCACTCCAGCCCAATCCGGGAGTTCCAGGTAAGCGTGAAAGGCCCTGCCACAAACAGCAATGTGAACACTGTCCTGAGGGATGAGACTCAAGGTTGGCCTCTGGTCTCCACACACACCCACAAGAACATGTAACATACAAACACATACCAAAAATATTCTTATGCTGTTTAAACTCTTTAAACAACCATTAGAGAGAGAGGAAGGGAGAGACAGAGAAAATCCAACAAGACTCCTGCACAAGGACTAGAGAGAGAGATGGCTCAGTGGTTAAGACCATGGCTGCCCTCCCAAAGGACCAGGGTTCAGTTCCCAGCACCCACTTGGCAGCTCACAGCCATCTCTGTGGTA